CAGAAGCAGTGCTGAGAAGCCTGCATGCATCGGCCCCAAAACCTCGAAAACAGTCCCCGATCACTGCAACGTAACCACCAAACGAAAAACCATTCATGTTGAAGACTCTGTTCCTTCATCCTGCACTCCCCCTCTCGCAACCCAAGCCTGAGGCCCGCCAAAAGAGGTCTATTCGGCCTCTTGTTCTCCTCTACTCAGTTACGATTGACCACGAGCACAAAGGTAGGGGAACTGCAAAAACACAAAACCGGGCGATCTTCTTTCTGCGCAATATAGTCGACGGCCGAAAACAAGAACAAGCGTGAATAAGGCCCAGGAAAGAGCATTATGGAGGTTCGCCTGGTTAAATCCAGCACAACTTTATGTCTTGGCTTCAGGAACTCAAAGGGTCCACGTCTGAAGTGCCAACCAAGCGTAGATCCTGCACCTTCGCACTGAAGCTTAGCAGGTGCATATACATACATGCATGTATATATATGTATATATATATATATATATACACGCATTCATATACATAATTGCATAACAATGTGTGTGTGTATATATATATATATATATATATATAAATTAATATACATTTTATATGTATATTTATATGTATATACATATATACATACATATATACAAATGTACATATATACATATATATATATATCTATGTATATATATATGTACATATGTATATATATATATATATATATATATACACGTATTTTTATATTTAGATCAGCGGACCGTTAAGAGTACGCCACAGCTTCGCAGCACAGGTTCGGAGTGACCTGTCCTGTCATTTGCATCCTCTGCTTCTTATCAAACTTCGTCATCAAGAAGCTCATGGCCTACAAGATCTGCTATGCGCACCAAAGAGCGCCTGATCAGCAATAGCCTAGCCGGCTTTGCGGTTTAGGGTTATTTGAAGTTATGTGGTTTAGGTTTAAGGGCTTGCAGCTTTAAGGATGCAATCCTTGCGGTTTAGGGTTTAGCTTGATAAGGTTTAGACCTTATAAGTCTGAAGGGTTTAAGGGTTTAGGACACAGGCTGGATTGAGCCATCTTTTAAGACGGTCACAACAAGGCACGGGTTGTATTTAATTAGTTTATGCACTGGCCAACAGAGTGATCGCCCACAACTTGTTCACGGCCTGGGTTCAAAAAAATCCCGGCGGTCCAGTCACATGCAGTTGTTTCATCCTATTTAAGTTTGGCTTGGTTGGGTAGGTTACGCTCGAGGTTTGAACGTGTTCTCGGACAGCATAGGACGCATGAAGCTGACCTGCCCGGTCCTTCCTGGGGCTGTCGCACCCCTTTTCTGCATCCAGGGGAGCGCGTTCTCGGCACTACCCGGTCCCTCACGGACAGACACACAGACAGAGACAGACAGAGACAGACAGAGACAGACCGACAGACAGACGGACGGACGCACGGACCGACACACAGACAGACAGGCACAGAGACACACACACACACACAGACACACACACACACACACACACGCTCACCCACCCACACGCTAAAAAAAGAAAGAGAGAGAGAGAGAGAGAGCTGCGGACCAGATAGGCGTTCCCTGCTTCGGTTCTGCTTTAGGTGTCTTGCCTCCTACAGCCCTATGCCCCAAACAGAACCGTGTAAACCCGAGGTGATTCCCAGGGTGGAGGAGGGCATCGGCTCCTGGAGCCACATCTTGACATTCATTGCCTATATCGGGGTCACAGTCACCTGCTACATCGCATCCCGGCTCGAAGATGGCGGTGTTTGGGTTTGTTCTGACGCCGTTAGGCGGCACTAGCTTCACAGTATGTGCTGTGAGGGGCTTGCAGGGTCCAACTTCCGGGCGAAGTAGCGAGCCTGTTAGAAAAAAGCTTGGATCCACATGGCCAGTTCCACCTCCAGGAAAATCTTAATAGGGGTTAGTTGCCGTGGGGTTTCGAAGTAGTCCGACCTGGCAACCGGGTCCTGTTGATGCCACTTCCTTGTCGAAGGTCTTCTTCGTGTTCAACTTTGAGGACCTCTCTTTCAAATACAAGCTCATCGCCTTCATCCTCAGTGAAAAAGCACCATGGTCTTCATGGCCTTAGGCGGGTCGATAAGCATGTGGGCTATGTTCAGCCCTTGGGCATCACCCGCAGCCTTGACACATTCAAGAGCAGGCTCCGGCACAACTAGGTAGTTCGTGCTGGCATGCCTGTGTCAAAAGCACACGCAGGGCGTCTGCGGACATCAGCTCGTTGTAGACCGTACGCCTTTCATTTCAATCAGCATTTCGATCCGGATCCATTTCTGCGGAACTTGCGATCCGAGTCTTGAATACGTGATTGGATTCAGTTTTCTGTCGCACCGAGTTTTCCGTGATCTCGCAGTTATGTCAGGCAAGCTGATGCATTCTGCTGCCGAGGCGATGATGGCATTGAAACGAGCCATGGAGGGGTTCTTCGGCGATAAGACAGTGGCGCAGATGCGGGTGGAGGAGCACAACGAAGAGGCTGACTATGGGCTGTGAACGGGAGCTTTTGTTCCGACAAAGCGATTGGTTTTTTCTCAGTCCCAGCTCTGCTCGCTGTTAGTTGTGTGTAGACGTACTGGACTATGCAACTCGTCTGCAGCGTTGTCTTTGAATTGCAACCTGCGCGCTTAGCTGCTCAGGTGCTGGACCGGGTGCTGGGGAAGCACACGGATTCCAATGGGGCACCTCAGTAAGCAAGAGCCATCCGTCTCGGGTGGCAATCTCGGTACAATACAGCCCCTGCTCGTTTTCTGTTTCGTGCTCGGGCTGTTTTGAATCAGCTCGCCTGCATCCATCTCGCCAGCCCATAGCTGCAACGCTCGCTGCAGCAGCCTCAATCATTTGGTAGCTCTGCACCCGTCGCCGTTGCTGCAAAGAGGATGTGGAAGAAACTGTCGAATAATGTAAGCACTACTAGCGGCAGCCTAATTCAAGCATGCTTCTGTGTGGGGACCCTTGGAACGGCATCTTTCAGAAGCGCACGACAGAAGAACTGTGGATTATGCCAATATGCTTCTATGAGACTTGTTGTCCAAACGTAGCAGCAGCATGATGTCAGTGTAGAGATGGCGCCGCTGGCACAGCAATTAGGCTCTCCAGCTCCGAAGTTTGCTTTGGTGCTTGCGTATATATAATCCGGAAGATGAGCGGAGCAGATAGACAAGCGGCCTGCTCCGGTAGCCTTAGAGCAAATGTTGGGATTCCCAGTCACTCTTCCATGCGTTTGGGTGCTAGCTGCTAGCGGGTCAAAATCTGCGACTTCTGCGCGCTACAGGTTCAGTATGCAGCATGTGGACTCCAACACCTGGTAAACGAGGAGATAGGCTCGATCCACATAGCCCGACCGATAGGCGCATTCTACTGATCTTCCATTGTCTTCGCATCCACGGCCACGCAGTTCTCGCGGAGCGCTATGTGGGACTGGGTGGAGTACATGCAATTTTTTACCTTGGCCTCAGAAAGCTTCGTGGATTGTTCGGCCTGTTCACTAGCCTGTGACGCTTTTCTGCTTGGTTTCTTCAAAGCCCACTAGCAGTAGCACGACATGCCACACACAGGGCTGAACGACAGCTGTCAGCCACGAAGCTTGAAGAAGACGACAGGTTGCACCCAACTCCGAGACGATTTCGTGCAGGATGGCCAAAGCATGCCAGTGGCCAAAGCATTCCACAGCTGCACGTCGTCTTATCGGAGCCCGAGTTGCTTGCAGGGTCTATGATCCTCTTCATGCTGGGACGTCTCAAATAGTCCTTGCCCCGATCTACATAGATCCTTATAAAAAATTTCTGCGAGAGACGGCTGGATCCTACAAGATTCCTCCCGGCACTTGTCCAACTTACCTTCAAATTCAGACTTGCGCGCTTGCAACACTACCGTCAAGGACTGGCCATGATGTGAGGTCGGAGCCTCTTTGTTCATTCACAGGTATCAGGTGCTTGCCATAAGAATATCCTGGCCTGACTCCGCAAGGATGCGCTGGACTTGCGAAGTGTTGTGTAATATAGGGGCCGAAATGAAAACAAATACTATTTTGGTGGGTTCCTTATTATATCTATAGTAAACTGGGCACCAAAACCCTATATTCTCATTATTAAGGCCCCTATAGTAACTTGTGTAAGGCAGGGTCTGCCTCGCTGAGCGACTAGGGGATTCATGTCGGACCTTGGGACTGGAGCACTGGATGCAACAGCAGAACTTGGGCGACGCTATTCACCACCATTCAGGAAATTCGTGTGTCGAAGGGGCTATATGCTGACATAGCTGGGAAGTAGCCTGGACTTGGCGTCATTTGAATCACTCATGGGCTTGCAGAGTTGCGATTGGCAGGCGGTTTTTGCGAGGGTGGAGCCTGGTTCGCGTGTTTAAATGCAGGACCGGGGCACGCTCGGAAGGAGTGTCGGGGTCGTGCAGATGAGGTCTTGAGCGTCATGCTGTCGATTTGCACACGAAATTTTGGGGCATGGTTTCGCAGCGTTTCTAGCTGAAGGCCGCAAGGTAGTTCCCCTTTGGGATCACCTTATAGCATTCTAAATATGATCTCCAAAAAGGAACTACTTCGGGGCCTTTGGGTAGCTGGAGGTATTGCGAGAAGTTGCCTCGATCTCAATGAAGTTTCAGGCTCAAAACGGGCCCCGGCTCCGACAAAAGTCGGCCCTTCCCATCTCCGCATCTCTTCACAATTTTGCTCTAATGATAAGATTAAAATTTTAAAGAAGCAAAAATAACACTATTAAACATAATAGTAATAGGAATAGTAATAACAAGAATATGGTCTCCAGTTCAAGTATCGCAAGCGTTCACGTGCCCCCGACCAAGCTCAACGCAACCCGTTCTCAACACCAAGCTGCTTCCGAAAAGCAAGTATTCTCATGGGTTTGACTTGTGGTTTTAGACCTGCCTACAACCTGACTTCAACCTTTCGTATACCCTTGAAAGTACGACGAAAACCAGATAAACTCTGTGGACCATAATTCTTTGCTGTTCTGGTTGCGTGTCTTACCATGGCTGGCGCCGCGCAATCAACAGCCGCAGATGGCATGCCCTGGCCGAAGTGCAAGACGGAGCCTAGGATTTCCATTCTCACAGGGGCCTAGCTAGAGCTACATATATACTACTGTATGTACATGCGTGCATGCATGCATGCCCAAAGGTGCTACTATTGCTACTGCTACGACGACTACTACTGCTACTACTATTGCTTCTGCTACTACGACTACTACTACGACCACTACTAATACCGACACTGATCATCACTGATCACACCAGGGTAGTAATGATAACAATGATGATAACAAAAAGCATAGCAATAACAAGCAGAAGTTAGTACTAGTTATGCTAGCACTTCTATGTATAGAACAGCATTAGTAACCAAGATAATAACAAGAGTAGTGCAAAGAAGAAAAAATGGTCACAAGAATGGTCAAAAGAATTACTACTACTACTACTACTACTGCTACTACTGCTACTACTACTACTACTACTACTACTACTACTACTACTACTACTACTAAATGGTGACAAAACTACTAAATAATACTATCACTGAAACTGGTCATACCAGGGTGCTAATGATAACTATGTTGTTGACAAAAAATCAGAACGTCAACGAAAAGAGTTTGTACTGGTTGTACTACTACTACTACTACTACTACTACTACTACTACTACTACTACTACTACTACTACTACTATTACTACTATTACTACTACTACTACTACTACTACTACTACTACTACTACTACTACTACTACTACTACTACTACTACTACTACTACTACTATTACTACTACTATTTATATGAGCGATCATAATCGTAGGACTATTAGTATTAGTAACCAAGATGAGAACAATAATAGTGCTAAGAAGAAAAAATGGTCAACAAAATCATCAATTGAATAACAACAGAACCATTGTGCCTGCTTCGTGTACTCAGCCATGCAGGAGGCAAGACACAACAATATTACTACGTATCAGAAGAACAGTGTTTATAGCTCGAACACTAGCAATAGTAATACAAATCATGTTTTCCAAGAATAACAGTAGTAGTGGTAAAAAACAGCAATAATACTTAAGTTCAATAATCTTAGCAGCTGTTATTGCAACCATGTTTGCCATGAGCAGCAACAAAGACCTGTCTACATACTGCATAAACAGCAAACGCTAGTGAGGCACACGGGAATCATCCCAGCAGCTATCATATTTAAGCATGAGTCAATGCATCTTGATGTTGTTAATGACAAGAGGAATAAACCTAACAATAGTAATAGTAAGTAATTATAGCAAGCTGGGTGACAAAAAATAATAGTTAGCATTCTATTCCTATAACCAACGATACAGTAGCAGCAGCCCCCCCCACACATGACAAGGACATGGACTGGGACAAGAAGCCCTTGGGCCGGGGTTACTTCGGAGAGGTGTGGCGCGGGGCCCAGATGCGTGAGCGAAGGGAAGAGAAGGAAGACACAAGGGTAGCAAAGAGAAACTGTCCCATCTTTGCAAGAGCACCTTGTCGAACAGCCATCGTACCCTGACAGCAGAGAATTTCCGAAACCTTCCGTTTGCTTGTCTCCTCCATCTCGCTGAACCGTCCTGACTCTAAAGACGTGTGCTCGGGTTCGTGTGTGCGTGTGCAGCAGATGCCTTGTTTTCGTCAGGCAGGTTCCGCCATGTGCAGACAGGCATAATTTGTTTCCTGCGTTTTTCTATGTAGTCAGAAAAATTGGAAGCCCGATCATATTGGGTTCGGACCTTTAGACTGCCGGCTCTTTGTCCTAGCATCATGTGGCCATCGTTTGGTCAGGTTGATAAACTGGGCGCCCTCTAGCCCCTGTGGTTGACCTTTTTTCTGGAAACCACCAAGATTGCATCAGCGTGCTACTTGCAGCAAGCAATGGTCTGTCGGAGATGTTGTACCTGCCAGCACAACAGCAGCTGTAGTGCCAGCAGAAGTGGTAGCAGTCGTCTTCGCAGCAGTCTTGCAAATGTATGCATATGCATGCCAACATGTTTGTCGGCAAAATCCGGGGAGTGCGTGAAGTCATCTCAGAGAATATATTGAATATATGCTGACCGTAGTGCGCTGTTAGTTCTTTCGACGCGTGCATATGCAGCAAGTCCGGACACTCCACATCGCTTATTGCTTCAGCCTAGGGTCCCTGAGACTCTCTGCATTGTCTTCTCATGTTCGCAACCCTAAACCCTCGATAAAATTTGCACGATACAGAGAAGATGAGCATGGCCCCTGCGCAAGGATGACACAAATCGATACCGCTTTGAACCTTCTGCTCCCAGCCCTTCGCTTGTCTTACCTTTGGTTGGTAGGGAATGAGAAGAATTGTAGTAATAATATAGTTGTAATTGTACCCCCTTCCTCCATTCCCTACTAACCAAAGGTAAGTGTAGCCGCATGAGGCGCTGCACCCGTCCGGGCAAGGCGCACTCTCCACTAATTTGGGCCGTCGCTTGGCCAAGCAGGGCTGCTGGTACTTGCATGCTTGGGATTCGCAGGGCGCTCGTGGATTTTTAAGGTCGAGAATTTAGCATTGGCTGGTTTTCAGAATTCAGTATCCTTCTGAAAACTTAGCCGTTTCTGTCATGGGTGTTGTGGCAGTAAGTAGCTGAAGACTTGCATTGTTCCTCCTCCGGCGGAGAGCCAAGGTCAAGAAGATTCCCAAATCGCTGGTTCAGCCTCCTGGCAGTACTCGGTGCAGTCCGAGACCGCAAACCCGAAATTTCTCGAGTTCAGGTTATTCTCCGATCCTGGATCTAAATCTACCCTACACCCTGAACTCTACTTGTGTCTGGGCTGGTTTCTGCAGTGGCAACTTGCGGCCAATTGTAAGTCGATGAGAAAAAGGGGTGCGAAGCTGAAGCATCTACCGACAATCCAAGCCAGCTTAGTCTTTGGACTCGGCATCTTGACTATGCAGCTAGAGTTATCGGAGCCCTGCAACCTGCCTGATTACACAGCTCGGTTTAGTTGATGCCGTCCGACGATTGACCTAGCCGTCAACATACAAAATCATTAGGTACTGAACCTCGAATCAAACCGTGTCTGAGCAGACAGCAGGCGGGCTTTGACAGGTGTTTCTAGGCAAAGTGCGTGCCAGCCTCGAAAGGCAGCATAGTCTCACCGAGCAGATGCAAAGAGAGTGGCTCAGCTCATCAAGGAGAAATTAAGGGCTTGCTGTGGTTCCACTTCGTTGCCATCTGCTTCAGGTGGCATTAGGTCAGTTTGTGTGCGTGCGCTGTGACATGGAGTGAGTTCTGGCGTGGCTAGGGCTAGGGCTTGTGCCAATGTAGTGTGATGTTACGCTGGTGTTCGACTGCACGGAAAGGGCCGGATGATTTCAGGCAACCCGTGCCGAGGATAACCATCATGCGCAGCCTGAGACACCAGAACATTGTGGAGCTGCATTTCAGTGCCTCGGAGAAACCTGGATGCGTAATATAGGGGCCTTAACGATTACCAATATTCCGAAACAGAGGGACTTCTCTCTGCCATCCGCCGTATCCTGGTTTTTGCCAAACGTCGACTGTGATGCCGAACGTGCTCACGGACCCGGAGCCTTTTTTTTTTTTTTTGGGGGGGGGGGGGGGGCGAGACTCCTGGAATATTCGCGTATACATCCACGCTTGAATATGTGATGTCATGCAAGGCGAACGAAGGTGAAACGTTACAGCGGGACAGCAGACACCTGCCAAACCGCTCCGTACGGTTCAACCCTGCGTCTCCCAACCCAAGAAGTTCTCTTGCGACTGAGGCTTTGAAGACGACAGCCACATCTTCCTCGGGATGGCTTCCAAGCTTTGTGAGCAGGTCTTACAGTTTTTATGCATGACTAAGAGGGAAGGGCCTGAAGGTGAAGGCCTTAAGGTTCCAAGCAAGTGTAGCAGTGCAGGGTTTCGACGAAAAAGTCCGATTGTGCCTGTGAGCTGTAAGTGTAAGCTGCAAGGAGGATCGGATTCTGCTGCTTGGAACATGGGTGGGGGTGGCTTTCAAGACTTACAGTAATTGATTTTCAAAAGGTCGACAAGAATGACCTTCAGGATTTTGCCATTGTGCGATTGGCGCTATTTTTCTTACAATAATATAGTTATATATAGCTACAACAGTTTTGCTTAGAAGTTTGCTACCAAGGAGTTTGCGGAAGGCGGCGGCATGTTCGACCTCCTCAGCAAGGTCGGCCTCCAGTGCAGTTTGAGACCAATGCTTCTTCAGTCCTTACAACATCTGATGGTGGCTGGAGACTTGCATAGAATGCGGCAGACGCACTTTGTGCATCCCGGAGTTCGCAGATGCGTGTGTGAACCAGGTCGGAAAGTTCACGTTAGACCTGGCTGCCCAGCACTTCTATGAGGCCAACTTCCTCTGGCAACTCGAAAGTCCAAGCCTTCGCGTGCTGACATCATGCCGCGCAAGTTTGGCGTAGTCTTGTATCGGAAGGCGAGTGGCTGGTTTGCATGCTGCTAGTGTGAATGTTGAAGAAACGGTTTCTTGCGATGCTTGCTTGTGGGGTCGGGATGCCTTAAAAGACTTTTTGTTTTGTTGGGAAGAGAGGCACTGCTTAACCGCATCTGTCTGAAAACCGCAACTCCTCCGTCGGTGTCAGTCCGAACACCCCTCAAGTCTGAAAGTCCCACATCAGATTCGTTATTCTGTAGCCTGTGATCCCTGGGTGGGGCCCCCCTTGATATGACCTTGATTTTGCATGTGGTACCTGAAAGTGCGAGAGCCACCCACATTGCTGCAACACAACCCCTATAGTCTCCTTAGGAATTACTTTTGGGTTTTGTTCATATAAAACCAAGAGAGCAAGAAGAATGTCATTTATATTATGGTTCTATGAGGGTTCTAGATCCTTGGAGGTGTGTGATGCACTGCACTATCTTCACAACCGTGATCCGAAGATCATCCACCGGCCCTCTCGTCTCTGTGTTTAGGGCTGCGGAGGTTGAGTTGCATTTCGGAGTACGGAGTGGTTCAGGCGGCTGGGGTGGTCATGGGAAATCTGGCTTTGAAACGTTCGTTGCTCACAGAGGTTTGGGTCGGGATCAGGCTTCGTTTCCTCGTTTTGGGATCGCTCAGAAGTTACAGCTTAAGTATGCAGAATTCTGACATCCATGCACTGGGAGCATTGCCACTGGTGCAGCACTTTTTAGAGTCAAGGAAGGCAGGCTGGAAGTTCTTGCTTTAGCTGTCATGATTATGATGATGATTATGAATATGATGGTTTTTGTTGTTGTTGTTGCTGTTGTTGCAGTGTTTTATGCGCTTTCCTACTTTTATTGTTACTGTCAGTTAGTGGTTCATCCGGCTGTGTCCCTGGCTGCAACCCTATCCGGCAAGGGATATCAAGCCCGAGAACATTCTCCTCGACAAGGCGCGCAGCTTGGAGAATGGACTGGCGGTGTTCCAAGCCTGCACAGGCTGAGAGGATGGATGACCGCACTGAAACTCCCAACTAGGGTTCATGATACAAACCATGCAGTACCCATGATAAGGAACATATGACTGCTTTGCCTGGAATTTTCTTATAACTCGAAGCCTTGGCTGCCTCCAGGGCATGCACGCGAAGCTGGCGGACTTCGGCTGGTCTAACGTCATGGAGAATGTATCCTACAGGCAAAATTGGAGAGCTTGTCGGAGAATGGTGTGGGCGACGACATAGTCGCAGCCATCCATGCTCAGTTAACTAGCCTCGAGACCGACAGAAACGGTTGTCGAGGTGGGTGATAGACATCCGACTGGACAAAGTGTCTGACAGTTTGTCGTAGACATCCCGGACCTGGGATCCGACATACAGTGTCACTCTTGACCATCAGAAGTTGCAGCCTTTGATGCCACGCTGCAATGTAAAGCTGCGGGAACCTATCAGAAACACAAGTGAACTCACCAGACCTCGTGACTGGTTAGGCCCAGAAGACATCCGCGCCATACCATAAGATCCTGAACGCAACAAGATGGTGAGCATATGTCCGCCCTGTGACCCCCCCCCTTTCCCTCCCCCCCCCCCCCCCCCCCCACCCCCCCCCCCCCCCCCCCCCCCCCCCCCCCCCCCCCCCCCCCCCCCCCCCCCCCCAAACAAAAAAAACACATAGTATTGGTAATTAGTTTATGCCACTATAATACATCCAGAGCAGATAGAGTCACAAGCACGACTGCAGCTGTAGGGCTCTGAGGATGAGAGTGAGGGTGAAAAGCGGTTGATGACGCTGGTTCTGATGATTAGCAGGGTGGATGATGATTGTGTCAGTGACCGTGATGATGATGGTTGTGATGCTGCAGGGCCACCATGTACCGCTATGTAACGCCATGACCATGATACAAACGCATATCATTCTCTTATAACCTGTTGAAAAGCGTCTTCCAAGCACACAGTAAGAAGGCGCAGTGTCGGAACAGCGTGCTGGCAAGATTGCTCAAACGGTTAACGCTTGCAACAGCAGTAATCACAAACAATGTTGCTTGGCGTTCTGATTTCGTGACCGTTTGTGACTGTTCGGATTAGCTCTGTATCGTCGCGACGTGGTTGTGCTAGTGTTTTTGCACCGTCGCGGTGTCATCATTCTCCGCATCAACATCAGCTTTGTGGCATTGTCATCATTATCATCCTCATCGTCACGTGCATCAAGAGATTGTGAAAGAATACCAAAACCCACAACGAGGGCAGTAGCAGGTGCCCACAGATACGTTCTTACTTGAAGAATCTTCTTCCCAATGGTTGCGACACATTCTGTGCCCAGTTGTCCTCTTACCGTCTCTGCTGTGATGCCTGATGCACCGGTGCATTTTGTTTCGGTGCTCCTGTTAAACTTGCAAGGCCACAACGAAAGCTTGGACATGTGGGAGATGGGTGTGCTGTTGTCACCCGGCTGTGTTGAGTGCACGGGCAAACGTGAAGCGAGAGTGGAGGGCGGGCTTTAACTACACGAAGCGGTATCTGAAGTCTTCAGTCACTCTAGTCCAAAGGTATGAAATGGTGGTTGGGAGATCGCCTTTCGGCGGAACCTCTCAGAACGACACCTGCAAGAACATTCTGTGTCTTGGCATCGGCACAGATCACTGCAAGCGTGTTTTTGTTGTGCAAGTTTCATGTTTCAGCCGGTTTGGACCTGGATGATGACAGCGCTTGAATCAAGCCTTCTTCTACATGCTTCTCGCTTTGATCCGGGGAGCCCAGCAGCAATAGGTGCCTTGTTGGTATCACGCGAAACTTCAGGCAATGTTAGTTAACCCACTAGCAGAGGTAAAGCAAAAACAAGGTGCAAGAGGCGGCACAATTTCGGAGCACTCTGAAGCCAGTAGCTTGGGGATCACCGAAGCAGAGGTTTAGTTGGCAGCAATCATGGCGGCATCGCCAAAGCGCAACAGCTAGAGCTAGAGTGGAAAGACTGGCACCTTTGAGAAGCTGCCTTCGAAGCAAGAAACCAAACCGACCAGGAGCATCAAGCTCCAGTTTCCGTCGGACATCGACCATACCGCGGAGGAGCTCCGCTTCGGCTCGAGTCGCGATCCCCAAACCCCCAGACCCTGCTTCTACTATGGTTTTGCAAGAAAAACCTAGTAGATTCATGAGCTGCTGAAAGTTAGAGCTTTCTTCGACTGGCAGTGGATGGGAAGTATGACGTTTGTTGATGGTCCCTGGGCATGCTTTGCCATTGGCGACAGGTCTGGGCCTTAAGTACCCGAAGTCTTTGGGTTTCGAGTATAGCGGAGGCAGCGCTATTGCCTGTTAACCTCCACAAGCCGAGAGAAAGAGAGAGAGAGAGAGAGAGAGTTATGAGCCAGGACTGCATCAAGAGCTTATGCAAGAAGGCGCCCGAGGACCGGCCGAAAGCCAAACTCTTCGGCGGCAGCACAAATTTCGACGCCAGCGCCAACTGCAGTAGGCATCTCAGTAGTTGTAACAGTCGAACAAAAGTCGCAGTACACCAGAAGTGAGAGGATACAGCACCGTAGTAGTAGCAGAAGAAGTCATAGTAATAGCAGCTGCAATACGAGAAGTAGTCGTAGTGGTTGTGGCGGCAGCAGCAGCAGTAGAAGCAGTAGTAGTAGTAGTAGTAGTAGTAGTAGTAGTAGTAGTAGTAGTAGTAGTAGTAGTCATGGTGGTGGTGGTGCTCGTGGGCGTAGGGTAGCAGTAAGAGTAGAAGTAGCAGTAGCAGAGGTGGTAGCCGCAGCAAGTGACAGCATTCGGTGCGGACGTCGCAGTAGGCGGAGGCGTCATAGTTGCATCAGCACTGGCAGTAACAACTTGTTACTATCGGTACTGGTAGGAGTAGCAGTAGCCGTGGCAGCCGCAGCATCGGCAGTACCAGTATAGCAGTGACAGCATTTTTCGGACATACTAAGCAGAGGAGTCAAGGTTACGCTCTGTGACTGGAGCCAGGTATCTCCGATTGGAGTTTGCAGGGGTGGAGCGTATCTTTCATAACGTCTGTGGCTATTCACCGGTGTGACAACAGATTTGCTGTTCAGGCTGCAGGCCCGGTTTATGTCCAAGGGCCTCACAATCAGTGACTACTGTTGTCAGGGATGATGCCTTCTTGGATGCGACTATCGTTGTTGCAAGTGTTGGTGCTGTTGCTACTCTCCATGTTGTCAATAGAGATACCGGCTTCCAAAATCCTAAACTCGAAGTAGAAGTCTGCTTTTTGCCACTGAACGCCCTGGCAGAAACGCCTGACAGCTGCTCAAGCTATGCAGCATGCCTTCGTTCGCCAGCTGCTTGATGGGAATCTTATCAGGCTTGAAGGGGTCCAGGTCGTAACATTTGTCCAAGCGAACTCGGCCCGACTGCTCTGAAGCTTTGCACAGTTCGCGTGATCCTTCCTGCACCGACAGGAACGGCGCCGAAGATTCGGGAACACTTGCTGGTGTAATGGCAGACCACATGTTGACAAGAGCAGCTTCCGGACCTTTATGATAGATTATTCCATTACTGACGACTGCTAGCACCGCTCGGTTGGTGTCATGAGTCTCGGCCGCCATGGTGGCACACGCTGGACAACCGAACCAAAGAGCAGCAACTACTGGGCTCAGTGTGCTGGCTGCTGTTGCTACTACTAGTACTATGATCATTCCAACTACTGGTACTTCCACTGCTACTCATACTGGTACTGCTGCTACTGCTACTGCTACTGCTACTGCTACTGCTACTGCTACTACACTGCTACTACTACTACTACGACCACTGCTACTGCTACTACCGCTACTACCGCTACCACTGCTACTACCGCTACTACTGCTACTACCGCTACTACCTCTCCTACTACCACAACTACTACTACGACCACTACTACCACTATCACCACTACTACTACTACTACTACTACTACTACTACTACTACTACTACTACCACTACCACTACCACTACCACTACCACTACCACTACCACTACCACTACCACTACTACCACTACTACCAATACTACTACTACTACTACTACTACTACTACTACTACTACTACTACTACTACTACTACTACTACTACTACTACTACTACTACTACTACTACTACTACTACTACTACTACTACTACTACTACTACTACTACTACTACTACTACTGTGACTGCTACGTGTCGCGTTTGGCGAACCTGCTCCTGCTGCTACTACTACGACTACGACGACGACGACGACTACTACTACTACTGCTACTACTGGTAGTTCTGCTGCTACGACTCATGCGGAAACCGCTGCCACGATCGGCATGAAAATGGTTGTCACGATGTCAACGGTTCGTATTCGAGACAAGTGCGAGTCGCAATCACGATCTCGATGAAGATGCCAGTAGAAAGAGGTCTCGTTTGCTTCGGTACAAGCAAGGCATGTTACCGCAGCACGACCAGCATAAGCTCCCTCAAAGATCCTCAAAGCGAGTGAAAGGATTTGTTGGTTCCTTTTTACTGATGGTGTAGTGATGTCCACTTGAAATCAGGTTCTTTAAGCCTGCGGCATCTGCAGCCTCTGGAAAGAAGGAGCCGGGCCAGGTAGCCTAAACCTGGGTTGACGTGGGTGTACGGCTGTGATGATAATGTGCCATTTTGCGACACACTGCATTCGTCGATGAGGCTGTTCTAGGCTGTTCTACACTTCTGTTGTCCCTTCTGGCATTGTGTTGACATGATATCTCGTTCCTGATGGCGCGAGGAGCTGCAGGAAGATGCGGGCCGACCCTCCGTGGAGGTGGTGACACGAAGTGTTCCGGCGTGGGTTCTACCTGGTTAGGGTTTGTGGTACAGCGGAGGTTCAGATGGTTCAGGGCCTGCGACTTGGATGGGGCAATTGCAGAGATCCTATCTCCGGGCTCTTTGTGGCCTACGTGGAACGCCAGAGTTACCAGTATGTTTACAGCAACTACCGAAAGTGAGGAGAGTGTGAGGAGTCTCAAGCACTACCGCAAACAGAAACGGCGTAAAGTGGTGTAGGCAAGCGCAAAGCGACGCAAGAAGACACATGAATGCATCTACTGCACAGTAGCGTCAACTTCGCAGTACGTTCGTTCAACCCTCGTTTTTGAGTCACCATGCTATCCACACATTTGTCAATTTTGGGTCTTCTGGAATTTGGGTTCGCCATGCAGGCGGCACCTTGAGAAGCAAAAGGCTGCGGCAATTTAAGAATCGAAGCCAGATAGCACAAATTCGATGATTGATTACTCCTAGTGCCTGGCATCACGACCATGATGAGTGTTGAGAAGCCGGAGGTCTTTGCAGTTATACAAGCTATGTAGCCATATACAGAAGCCTCTATCTCATTTATCTACCAATTTCTATCTGCGTGTGTTGGCGAACAGCCCAAGCCTCAGAGAGTGCGGTTGCACGTTGCGGCCAGGCACGACACCTGGCGCGTGAAAACGAGATTCTCGAAAACGATCCCTGCCAGAAGAGTTTGGAGTTGTATGTTGGACCTCCATTCGCATGAGCTCGTTGAGCAGGCTACCAGGAAACATCGATGCATGCAGGTCTACACAGGCGGCTGAATATTCTGTTTTGCGCCCGCCCCATATACTGGCAGGTTTCATGCCGTTCAGTGTTTGTTTCTGTTGGGGTCCCTGGCTTTTGATTTGTAGTAGTGAGGTGATTGTTGGATCTGGGTTTCGGCTTTCACCAGAACATCACTTGTATCTCCCAGTATGCAGATGCAGAGAAGCACGTGAACATGCATGTGCATGTGTGTAGGCGCGCATGTGCTTCTGTAGTACATGGCGGATGCGCATACAGACAGGCTTATCGAGCCATTTCCCCGCAGCAATTCTCGTGTGTTGCATAGCATTCGCAAGCCAGCCATGGGAACTTCAACTGTAGTTCAGCTTCGTTGCTTCACAGCAAGGCAGACGGTTACCCTGTTAATGAATATAGCTTCTGTAGGATAATCTCTTGTATTCTGTATTTTTCTTTGTGGCTGATTTGGCACAAAACTTGTGGGTCTCTTAGCTCGGCCAGGCTAGTGGGTTGAGGAAGACACTGTACTCAGGAGAAGATGGAGCTCGTTGTCGCCAAAGCCCGGCTGGTGAGCTTCTCAGCGGTCTGCAGCTTTCGACTCAGATCTTGCATTCAATCATTCCAATGCGTGGGTCAGTGAGAAACTGTGGTCTCTGCAGCCAGTGCAGAACAAGCCCCGACACTTTGACGCTTCTCCACATGCATTGCTACCATTCCGTCTTGTGATCGAGGTGTCTGTACACAAGACGCAGTCGTGATAAGTGTCGTGATATGTGTATGTGTGTGTATATGTACATATTTTCGTGTCTGCATCTATCTATCGATCTATCTACATACAGATAGAGATTCATACATGTGAGCAAAGAGAACAGCTTCTCCATCGTTCTTTCTTCATTCGCCCGACTTTACCAGGGGGGCCGGGCGAAGCTTGGCCACATTGAGTTACTCAGTTCGGTCGCAGGAGACCGACCTGTTCAATCTGACGGTCGAGCTCGAGGCCTGCAAAAAGTGCCTAAAAACGGTACTTTTTCCGTTCATGCGGACATAGACACAGTCTTGGCCGTGAGGACGAAAAGCATCTGTCTTTGCCGTGAGTATTCAGATCGCTGCGCAACGCTTGCCTTGATAAGTGTAAGCGACCGCGGCGTTGCACTGTGCTAGACTTTGCTCACGAGGATCGTGTGGCTGAGCTCCACAAGGAGCAGTCGTCGCTGCGAAAGGCGATGGGTGTGAGCCAGCGCAGGTTTGTCCGTGGAGAATATGGGCTACTGCATAGTGGCCCCATTCTCTTCCGTCACCGAGCCTTGGTTCATGCCATGCGATGATCCTGAAACCTCAAGAGTGAGCCTTACATCCCCCGAACAAAAGTGTAGTGCGCGGATTGCGAACGTCGAACTTTATGAAAAACTGGGCGACCCGATGAGCTGATGCAGGTGCAGGAGGAACTTCGGGAGCTGCAGGAAATGGAGGAGCTCCTGGATGGCATTCACGTAGGGGCCCTTGATACTTACCCTTACTATTTTGGGGGGTCCTTCATATAATTGTAACATCATGGGCCCCGAAACCCTATTCTAATTATTTAGGCCCCCTATATCAGCGTTCTGCTGGTGCTCCAGGGGTTCGGGATCCAGGATCGTTGGGATGACCATTGGGGATCAACCTGTTGTAGTTTGGGGTAGCCCTGCGGCACGAGCGCACAGAACAGTCATCTCAACCTGCTGTACTACCACCGGCGTCACCAGCGAGATCTAAGGAAGCAGAAGGAGGACGGCGACTTTGAAAACCCAGCGAACTGCATCTACTTGACAGCTGAATCGATCAGTTCTCGGGAAAGCCATCGCGGCATCGGGTGGCATGAGCGACAGGTGTGCGATCATCGTAACAGGTTGCGGGCACTTGCATTGCCATTACTTTGCCGCCATTTCAGGTACACAGCGCCGTAGCAGAGGATGCAGAAAGCTTTGACACAAGGAGCTCGGCGACGCAGAGCCGCCGGTCCGCCCATTGTGAGTTCCAGGCTTGCGTGGCTGTCAAAGTGAGGTCCCACTCGAAGTCTGTGGTTTGGGGTCGGTATCCCGGCTGGAGGGACTTGTGACCTTAAAGCGACCGCCCTACCTTCAAGACGGCACACCTTTACGACATTCGTATTGAAAGCGATTAATGTCACAATGTCTCCGACGTTAGAGTCCTCCTGACCTAAGTGCAGTCGAAGCGAGTTTGGGACCGACGCTCAAACCACAGATCAATCGCCACACTAGAGCCCCGCTTCGCGTGATGCTTGTCGGGATAGCTGTCAAACCCTTTCCTCTAAACCTACGGCGGCTTTTCAGACAGCTGACCTACCCCACCCCAAATGCAGCAACGGGTCCGGTGGCGCTGATTCCTCGAAGGGCTGCGACTGTGTCTAGATGGTTTTCTCGATTGGAGGGTTGGGTCCCGAATCCTTTTCTCCCGGGCTCAGGATTTGAACAAATCTTAGCAATGAAGAACATTATCATGCCAATGCCCTCGATGCGGCACTTTGGCTGTTGGCTATCTTCCTCTTGCACAATCATGGCCATGACAGGCTTGAACTATCGTGAAGCTACGTGTGATTCGGAAGCCTCCCTCCGATCCCAGCATTTCCTGCTGTGACTGTAGTGCCGTGCTTGCAGACAATATAGGGGCCTCAAAATAGGGGCTCCTCCTCTATATAAGCATAGTGTAACAAACCCTAATTCCCCATTAGTATCATTGAGGCCCTTGTATTAGCCGCGAGCTGGCTTGACCTTCTGTGGACAATGACTGCCACAGCCGAAGTCAGCCACAGAGCGTCATGCAGTCAACCAACTGCTTCTTGGGCAGAAACAGGAGAGGCAGTGCAACAGAACATGAGGGTTGGAGTCTTTCCTATTAAACAGTACCCGTTATAGTCCCGATGTGCTTTCACCAAAATACCACCAAAACCCTATTCTAGATAGGCCCGTACATCATGCCCAAGTGACTGCCCGACAAATGTAATTGCACGAGGTTCTTTGCTTCTTCCAGTTGAGTACTAGCTGTGGTGGTGTGTCTGCCTGTTTTTTTTCTTTTGTGTTTGTCAATTTGTGTGAATGCTTGCTGGCTTGCTTTGCTTGCTTTGCTTGCTCTGCTTGCCTGCTTGCCTGCTTGCCGGCTTGCCTGCTTGCTTGCCTGCCTGCTTGCCTGCCTGCTTGTGTGCTTGCTGCGCGGTGGTGGGGCTGGTGGTGGTGGTGGTGGTGGTGGTGGTAGTGGTGGTGGTGGTGGTGGTGGTGGTGGTGGTGGTGGTGGTGGTGGTGGTGGTGGTGGTGGTGGTGGTGGTGGTGACCTCGCTGGTGGGGTTGGTGGTGGGCGATTTTGATGGGGGGAGTAGTTGTGGTTGTGTCTGTGTGTGTGTGTGTCCTATGTGTTATGTATTGTCCCTTTTGTGTTGTTGGACATTGACGTTGCTTTGTCGTTATTTGGTTTGTTGTTGCTGCGGTGGTGGTGATGCAGGTAAGTCGTTGCACTTTCTTCCGTATTGGTCTTCTGGCACGATTCCGTCGACGATTCAGGGGCATAAAGTATAAAGGGCTGATGCGATCAGTCTTGACCCAGATCATGTGCCACATGTGCGAGGCTGAACGGATGGGGTACTCTTGTGACGTGGTGGTGCAAACAGATCCTTCAAACATGCACTTATTAGTACTCAACTTTATTCGGTACTGGGTATTCGGCTTTTCTGCCGTACCCGGTAAAGCCGGCCAAGCCATGGTGGCGATCGTGGAGGACGTTGACGAAGATGTCTGTGCCGAAGTTGAGGCCCCTCGCTGAACCGGTTCTGGCTGATTCTGGGACTGTGTTCGCATGAAGCCTATGCTGCGACAAGCATGCATGCTTTCGGCGGAACGGACATGGATGGAGAGACAGCACGGCAAAGCCCGGGAGACGCACACGCACAGAGAGACAGAGACAGAGAGATGTATACATATATGTATCTTTTATCTATATGTATATATGTCTATATGTATATATATATATACACATGTGTATATATATATATATATATACACATGTGTCTGTACATATGTGCTATGTGTACAGACATATGTACACGCACATATATATATATATATATATATATACATACACACATGTACACTTCTTCACATGTATACATGAGAGTGTTGGTTGGGGCCCATGTGGGGCCACAACCCTGTTCATTCGTTTGATTACCCGTGGCTCTCCAGCCAGCTCCGACGTTAGAAAGTAGTTGAAGCCGGTCAGCACTTCAGTCGATCGTTTGATCCCAACGCCTCAGCCCCAAATATTGGAATACTTAGTTCAGTTAGTTGATGTAGTTCTTTGTTGTTTGTTAGCTAAATGGCCTTGGATCTCCCAGGGGCGGACCGGATTTAATCCATCCCATTGTGCTGCATAGTTCTTCGGCCTCAGCTCATACTCACCAGACCCACAAGTGTGCGTGAAGAAGATGTATGCAGGAGGTGTACGTACATATACATATATACATGTACATACATATATATATATATATATATATATATATATATATATATACAATGTAAACATAAACATGCATGCATACGTAGCACATATGTCGTGCAGGTGGTGCCATTCATTCGGACATACATACACACACACATACACACATGCATGTTTTCGATGCACACATGCAGGCATGTCTGTCCGCGGGTGTATGTGTAAGAATATACCCAGATGCATATGTGCTTCTTTTTATGTATGCAAGTACGTGTATGTATCTGTTGCTTTACATGTATGTATGTATGTATGTATGTATGTATGTATGTGTGTACGTATGTATGTATGTTTGTATGTATGTATTTTTGTACGTATGTACGTCTGTGTGCAGGTATGTATGTGCTTGCTCGCGCATGTATACCAGTACTTAAATATGTACACACATAGTCGATATGCGCCACTGCGCTTGATAAAAATGAATTTCGGCCTGGAGCCGTAGATTCGTTCCCCTGCCATGTCCTTAGCCGGCATGATGCCCGAAAGCGCAATTGAGCACCCAGCTTCTGAAATTGAACCTCGGGCTGCTGAAATCCAAGCCACAGTAGAGAGGCATGCAGGCAGTTCTGATTGTCGCACTGTGCATAGTTGACTCGAGGTGACAGGTTCGTCGGCAGGTGGTGCTGCCAAGTGCCAGCCTTTGACAGCAATACGTTGGGGATGACGTGCTTGTTTGGCTTAATTTGTGGGACAAAATTCGACGACTGAACCAAGGGCAAACGTTTGCATTGACGATGACGTAGATGAGGACTGCTGCGCCGGCAGGGGACAGCTAACCGGATCCTCTGGTGTTGGTGCAGCATGCAGATATCTAAATCCTATTGTGTCGCAGTGCCAGCTGCAACTGCAACATGTGTCCGCGAGGTGTTACGGGAATTCAGATATCCATAGCCTGGCCAGTTGCAGGAAGTGTGCATCCAGCCGTCCAGCAGCAACAAATCTCGAGCTTCGAAACGCCGCAAAGGCACCCGTTGCGAAGTTGGCGTAGAGGTCTGAATAATCAGCGCCCGTATGCCTTTCCAGCCCGTTGTGTAATATACCAAGGTCAAAGTCTTAGTGCTACAGGATTTAAGGTACAGGCGGCGCAGGCTATTTGGGCTTAGGATTTGGGGTTTGGCTGCAAGCATGTCCTATATCGGTACTGACATGAACCCTTGTAGGGACAGTCGAAGTAGGAATCCTAAATTTTCGCACTGCAGCCATCATACTGCCACAGTGTTTCCTAAGTCAAGTTGGGGTGTTTTCGAAAGCGCAGCTTCAGTGCAAGACCAGAATGCCCAGTCATATTCTTGGCTCAGGGGCTTACTACTTGGTGATTGGACTGAAACCTTGCCGTTGCTTTCACCGAAGGTGCCGCTGTGACGGTTGTGGAGTCCGATTCTGACAGCTCCAGCTCAGGCTGGGCCGAAGCTCCTTGTACATCGTAAGCCTGGCACGAAAACGGAGTCTCAAGTTATATATATATATATATATACATATATATGTATGTATATGTAACTTTCTCTACATATTAAGCTTCGTGACATATACAATTACTATAATATGAGCCCTGCTGCAGTTTCATCTCGCAGCCGCACTCTGAAGCGTCGCGGTGGTGCCGCAGCGGCTGCCGCGCTTCTGTCGCAGTCAGCCCCGGTGGATGTGGACGAGGCAGTTAAGGGTCTTGCTTGCATGCCGGGGCACGGCTCGTGAGAGTTGAGATCAACGGTCGGGGTCTGGGGCGGACGATTCGTAGTCGGATACTGGGATCCATGACTTGTCTGTCCTTCCTTCCCAACCATGTAGCGAACCTACATGTGCGGTTTCTGCAGTGCGTCATCGCCAGGCTTCCCGGCTCGTATCGCGCACTCTTTCGTTCCCGACGCTCTGAGCAGTAGCTGCGGAGGTGATGGGATTTTTATTGAACGCGGGTCCATTATGGTGTGTGTGTGTGTGTGTGTGCGCCGATATGCAAACAGGCATCCGAAATTGAATGTGCTTGCACCCTGTGTGGTTCGTTGTGGTGTTCGAGTAGGACTGCTCGTTCTAGCGGTGCTTTCACATGGAAGAGAGAGGGACTAGGTCCACCAGGCTGAAGAGGACGAGGAAGCAGGCGGACAGAGACGGAAGTAGACTCGTAGACGAAGGCGCGCGCAGAGGAGCGAGAGACTGATTGAGACAGAGAGAGTGAAAAAAAGCAAAAGGGAATACTGCTAGATCGGCTATGTCCAAATCTGGAAAGTCGAAGCGAGTGAGCGGAGGGTATTGCCCAGTGTGTGCTAAAAGTTCTGTACGGGTTGCAGAGCCCGTGGCAAGCGACATGGCATTTTCCAAAGGACGAGCTTTGCTGGACCCTTGCAGCACGAGGGTGGTCTCGTGGCTGTTATGGCTGCACCTCGGCAAAGATTAGAATTGTTGTTCTAAAAACTTGTTTTATAAAAGCAAGTCCTTTGCCTTGCTTGTCCAACAGACAGTGGCTACTGCGGCTGTTAGCATGTTAGCCACACGGTATATTTCTTTTTCCATGGATTAATGATTAATCAGTGTTGACGCCCTGTTTCAACTGTCCGTTTCTTGTTCCACTTTTTTCCAGCCGAAAGATGCCGAACACCTGCATCAAGTCGTTTTTCGTTTCAGTTTAGGTCTACTCTTCCCAGATGCACTGTAAAGCCTGGAATGGAAGCCTTTCTGGGCCCGCTGTGATGCGTTTTCCTTTGCTTTGAGCACATGGCCATCGGCGAAGATGCAGGGTGCCATGATGAGTTGAATCATGATGACCGGCGAATGACTGTAGCCCTGATGAACTCGTAGCTTCGCCTGAGGAATCCGGTGCCAACATCAGTGTGCAGCAGGGGGCGACCCCGACAGACACGGCAGTCTGCGTGGAAGGCCCCCGACATTTGATACCCTCACGATTGCTTCAGGACATATTCTTCCGTTCCTCGAAGCCCAGACATGATATTGTAAGAAGCGTTGTTATGAATCGTGCTTTCGCGCAGGTACTAGCGAAGCCGTTGGCAAAGCAGCCGTGCAGATCCAGCAGATGTTTGATGATTTCACGGAGGCAATTCGGCGACAACCGAGGGTGTGGCGCCTGCTTGGATCAAAAAGCTGTATGACAGAGAATACTGTGCCAGTTGAACATCGTGAGTCGTGCAGCGAAGATGGCAAGTGCATGCTATCGTCGCACAAGACCCGCTAGCACATTGATGGTTCTGCAAACTGCAAATTTGAAGCTCGTTGATTTCTTCGTCACTCGGTTTTCCATAAGTCCGAGCATCAGTTGTTTTGCAGGTTGGGCAAGGAGAGTAACGCCTGTGCTACTGAGAGCAGTTAGGGTCCCGAAGCCAGAGGGCGGCCAATGAACAGGCTGAGAAGAAGGCCAAAATGCTGGCTGACAGCGAGCACATGGAGCTGCGGCCGCACTCAGACATGAGTAGCCTCGTCCAGCAGAGAGTTGGGCAACCAGTCGAGACGGAAGTGTGTTAGGTAGCAGTTTGTTAAGTTAGCTGAAGCTACTGCACATCGACCAGCCAGTGATATAGGACGCATCCTCCCTCGTTTAAGTTTCCGTGCGAAATGGAGAGAGCTTCGGGCAGGACCGAGGGGCGTCCCAGTAAGGATTACACCTTACATTATAACGAGGTTCATGTTATGATTCAAGCTATAGCCCTTAATAAAGGGGTATTGGGCTCTCTGGGTCTTGAAGAACGAAGGATCAGGTGGAAATCCCGCAGAAGTTGCTGAGCGCCGCGGTCGGCCCCAACGGCTCCGACTTGCCAAAGGTGCCGGGACCCGCCTCAAGATATTCCTGATTCCAAAAACTGTGATTTAGCTATATGGGAGTTTTTGAGAGTTTCCGAATATAGGGGACCCTGATATAGTACCCATAAGAAGTGGGATCCTTATTATAAGGGGGATCCAGCCCGCCTCAAGCACCCTGCAGCCTTAAACCCTAAACCTGTACTGTGAATGCCTCGAGCGCGTGTGCGAGTCGAAACCTCGACTGTATTGATACGCCAAAGCTAAGTTCAACAAGCACTGGCGACGCGCGAGTTCAGCAAGGGACTATGGCATCCCATAGAGCTCAAGCTTATGAGAGGCGCTTGGTTACGGTCTCGATCAGCGAACCAGCCATGGCAGATGATCGTGATTGAATCTCATGGTGGTGCTGGCAAAGGGAATCTCAGCCATGGCAGTGTTGATGATTGTGCTATGGATGGCCACGGTCCCCGTGGACGTGTGATGGACACAACTTCGATAGAAGCATCGTCTGGCTGACAGGCGCCTTCATCATCTTCCTCCGTCATTGAACTTTGATGTTGCCGGCAAATTCGGAGATTCCACGATGCAGCTCCTGAGCCCTGCCATCTCCCGAAATAGTCTTCCTCCGAGGTGCGCGAGCGCTGCGGTGGCGTCATGATCGCGCCACATGGACTCAAACTCAACTGAGCCCGACAGACAGAAACCCTGCAACCCCCAAGATGCAAAATAGAGCCGAATATATATATATATATATATATATATATATACATACTGAATACCTTCTCCCCAAAGAGCAATGAGCTGATCCCTAGAGAAGTTCGAGAAGTGCGGCTTTCGAGGCTCATGCCGCCTTCTGAGGGTGGCCACCTCACCGCCTTCATCGGACCTGGGACGGTGGAGCAGGCCGCTTTCGTTATAATGATGATAGCAGTATTCTATAATACTAAAACACTACTATAATACTATAACAAAACTACAATTCTTGGGATCAGTCCGACGATAGAGGGAGCTCGCTGGCCCGGTAACTGCCGCCGAAGATCCCATGCAAACCCAGATGCAGGTTGATACACTGGTGATGGTGAAAGTAGATCAGCGGCAGAAGTATAAGCCGGTCTCCGGCCGGACCGCTGTTTCCACTTGCTGAAACGAACAATCGGTGAAGGATTAAGATGCCATAAAACACAGGTCAAGCAAGCAAAGGAAGAACTCCTCGGCCGTGTGCAGCTCGCCGAGGCTGGAGAGGCGGGTCCTTCGCACGGAGTATTCTACATTGTCTACATTGTACATGCACAGAAGGACCTCATTTGTCTTTGGTTGAAGGTGCTATTCTTGCTTCTGCAAATCAGTAACATGTATTGGAGACGTCGAAGTAGTAGAAGTAGCTGTGGGAGAAGGACTTGACTAGGAGTAGGAGTAGCAGCAGCAGCTGCAGCAGCAGCGGAGGAGGAGTAGTAGTAGCAGTCGTCGTCGTTGTAGTAGTGGTAGAGAAGTAGTGGCAGTCGTATTGGTAGTGTTGCGCCGTCCTGGTTTCTCAGAAGTTGTGCCTCAACCCCGTCACTTGTCCTGCGCGCTAGCAGGCATCAGATCTACATACTTCCGCGGTCCCGACGCCTTCTATATGCCTACGCCAGAATCATATTCTGTTGGGGTCATTTTCGAAGCCGGGGTCAAGGGCCTAGACATAGTTCCTATTGTGATTGGTGCTCCTGGTCTACATGGCACAAAGGGCTTTGCAGCGCCCGACTCCTTCCCTGGCCATTTGTTTTTGACAGGTCCCTGCACAGGAATCGATGCCAAGGTTGGCGAGCACGAACTTGGGCTTAGGGTGCAAGAGTTGGGTTTCGGCTGACTTCAGATTATCACAGTGCAACTGCAGCGACAAGGCAAGAGACTTGTGCAGATGATGCAGGATTTCTGCTTGTGAAACGTAGATGCTTTGTGTGCTTCTGGCTTGGATCGGGGTCACCCCGACACCTGCTTCCACAACGACATGTGCCCGGCATGGGAGGCCGAAACTGGCAGACGAATTTGAGGCGTTAATGGAAGATGTGGGTGGTGGCAAGTGAAGAATGGAAAAAGCGTTGCTGTTTCTGTGCCGGGTCCGGAGGGTCATCAGGCACGTGTTGCGACCGAGGCGGAATCCTTTGTTCTTATGTTGCTCAGATCTTCTAGATTCATGCTGTCGGTGTCCGTTACGGGAGTATGCACTGCTGCAGCTATGCCCCACCCTTTGAAGTCAATCAGGCTTCAGGCAAGCGCGGATTGTTACAAAGACCTGCTGCCACGGGAACCCCATGATTGCGTCAGCCCTGGCCCACGGAACTCAGAGACTTCAGCCGGCCTGTCCACGATAATTAGTGACAGCCTGGCTTATGTGATTGTTGATGATTCTAATTAGTGATAACAACAGTAAGAACAGTAGTAAGCATCCTAGTAATAATAGTGATACTAACAGTAATCAAATAGGAATAGTGATACCCATACTAGTATGTTTGTTGTGAAGCCATCCTTGAGAAGCTTGATATGCAGTTTCCTTTCCTTGCTGTGAACAAAGTCTCTCTCAACAATTCTCCATGAGTTCTGAAAAAATCATCCACTTGTGAACTACACCTTCGACTTTGCCGCCGCGTTTCGGTGCAAGCTTTTAAGCCTAATGCCTGTTCTGAAGGCAGCCCGAGGCCAGCTAAAACGTCTTGCTGGGAGTTGCACGGGTGTTTCGGGCTTGCAGGAACAGAACATGTCCTGCTTCGTGTGCTTTTGAATCGCAGAGGCCCGCAGCATGCGGCCAGGGAGTAGTAGCAGCGGCAGCAGCAGTGGCAGCAGCAGTAGCCATAGCCGCAGCCGCGGCAGTATTGACAGTAGCAGCAATAGTAGTAGTGCAGCAGCAGCAGCAGCAGCAGCAGCAGCAGCAGCAGCATAGTGTTGACTTTTCGTTGAATCGTAGCGTTGACAATCTGTGGCATCAAACCTAGGCCAATGGATCTGGCAAAGAGAAGGGGACTGTCCCGATGTTTGGCCCAGAACATGTCGCGAAGTAGGAATCTCGATTCCCACCGGCAGCACCCTCTGACCTTCCCGAAAACGCGAGTGTTCATCTGCCTTCTGCCAGCATGTGCTTCAGGAAAGTGCCGCCGTAGCCAGTGGCGTTAGACACGGCACCCAATTTCCGGTATGGCCGAGACAGGCACACACCGCGGACTGTGAATTGGGGGGGTGATTGACAAGATTTCGCTTGTTGGCTGAGTTTGTTCTCCTGTCTTACTGCGGATGTTCCATCAATGGTAAGGTTCTCAGTATGACCGTTGTCTATTCATGCTTTACGCCGTTTCACGCTAGAAAAATGTTGGCACTCCTACATGCTAGCACTGCCGGTAGCGTGCGTGAGAGCCTCTTGCCATTATGTGTGCCGACTTTCCCAGTGCATTGCTCCTCATCCTGAAAATCAAGAAAATGGCGGTCTGTGATCCGACTTGTCGCATCTTAGCGGAATAATAGCAAGGTGTTGCCTTTGCGGAACTCGACTCGCATGTCGGTGAGGCAGATCTCCTGATGACGAAGACTCGATTAGCCGCTTCGAGACGGCGGGATCCGATACCGTGGCTATGCCTGTCTTAGTGCGGTGGTAGTGGTGTAGCGAGTCGCAACCATCTGCACAGCATCCGCCGCAAAAAGTAGGAGTAGCGGTAGCAGTAGCAGTAGCAGTAGCAGTAGCAGTAGCAGTAGCAGTAGCAGCAGTAATCGTTGCAGTCGCAGGGGCGGTAGCATGACGAAACTCGGCGGCTTATCTTGGTTGCCTGGCTTGCCGCACGCAGGCGCATTCCCAGTCAAGTGTTGCAGCAGGTGCTCCGACTTGAGCTGTTGGCACTGCGAAGCTTAAACCGTCGAACCTGCTTCTGCTGCAGTCGGCCAAGGCATTCAACCGGTCGGTGCACTCAGCATCTTCGACTGGGGATGGCCGCATGAAGGCGGGGATCCAGCCGGCGCGTGTGATGTCTCAGATCCATAGACAAATTCAATCCGAGAGGCCTTGAGACCTGATCCGTTGTCTGGCAGACCCGGAACCCGCAGAGTGACAACCGTTAACAAACCTAGTCACTAGACGAATAGCGTTTCTTCAGAAAGTTTCGGTTGCAGCAGATTCATTGTCCTCGGAGAAATGCAGCCGTTGGTTTGTGAGCCTTTGACGTGTCATTTCGCTCTCGGCTAGCAAGAACTCGCCCGGAGCAAAGACAGTCACCAGCACTCGTACTGCTATTGCTCTTACTAATGCTGATATTACGATTACAATGGGGATTACGATTGCTATTCCGTTACGATTGCTATCATGGTTGCTTTTATCGCTACTCTGACTACTGTGTTGCTGTGCTATTAAACTATGACTGGCCATGACAATGTCTGTGGCGATTATCATTATATTTACTTTTTCGCGAATCCGCACCATTACTATTGCATGCTACTAAGAATGGCTATTACCGGTACTATTGCTTGCCAGTACAATGTCTGTAACTCATATTGTTGCTGTGGCTTATAGCTATCTACTATGGTAAAAGCCAGAAAGTTGGAATATGATTATCCTAAACCCTTCTATGGTAAATTATAGGATATCCTACCCTGAAACCATATTCCAACTTTCTGGAGTTCCCTTTATTGCTATCTACTATTGCCATGTCTGAGCCCTGTGAGCCGAAGGTCTCTTTGGTTGCTTACGGGTTGTCTCGGGCGCACAGTGATCCGGAACACTGATCGCTGCTATGACTTACTATTGTTACCACGTGGCTTTCTCTAGGGAGCTTCTTCGACATCTTGTGCGGTTTCCGGCATCAGAGTTACATCAGTAGGTTCCTTTCTCTTCACGCTCTCTCTATCGAAGCTTTGTCTGCCGCGACGATGTCTATTCGCAGGACCGCAAGTTCGAAATGTCTTCGAAGATTGGCAGGACGTCTTCGACGAGCAACTTGCATGCAGGGGGTGTTAGTTGTGGCAGCAGTTGTCACAGTCCTTGTGCATGCACTGGCCGCAGTCGTAGTAGTAGCCACCGTCGTCATCGCAGCAGCAGCTGCGGCCGCAGCAGGGTGTCTCAGTAGGTTTAGTGTTAGTAGTAGTAGTAGTAGCAGTAGTAGTAGTAGTAGCAGTAGTAGTAGTGGCAGTGGCAGTGGCAGTAGTAGTAGTAGTAGCAGCAGCAGTAGTAGTAGTAGTAGTAGCACTCGCAGCAGCAGTAGCAGTAGCAGCAGCAGTAGCAGTACAAGAAGTAGTAGTAGTAGTAGTAGTAGTAGTAGTAGTAGCAGTAGCAGCAGCAGCAGTAGTAGTAGTAGTAGCAGTAGTAGTAGTAGCAGCAGCGGCAGTAGTAGTAGTAGTAGTAGTAGTAGTCGTCGTCGTGGTTGTTGTTGCTGATGCTGTTGCTTTTCTGCTGCTGTTGATGTTGTTGTTGTTGTTGTTGTTGTTGTCGGTGATGGTGCTGGTGCTGATGCTGGTGCGGGTGTGGGTGCTGGTGCTTCTGGTGGTGGTGCTGCTGGTGCTGGTCTTCTTGTTTGTCTGTTTTTCTCTTTCGTTGCGCCTGTTATTGTCCTTGGTCTTGTTGTTTGCACCTGTTGTTGATATGCTTTGTCTCTTATGTTGTCATTTTTCTGGTTGTGTCAGTGTTGGTGTTAGTGTTGCTATTGTGCCTGTTCTTTGTATTGTTATTGTTGCTGTTGTTGTTGTTGCTGCTGCTGGTGTCGGTGTTGGTGTTGCTGTTGTCGGCATCGTTGTTGTCCCTGCTCATGCTGGTGTTAGCAAACACAGTAGTGGCAACTATCGTAACTATCGTTATGTAAGAATAACAGCAATGCCAAAAATAAGGTTCCTAAAAAAAGCGGACCAATTGCATTCATGGTGATAGCAGCAACAACAGCCAATAACAGGAAGAGCAAGAACAATAATAACAGTGAGACATAGTGAGACTGTTCACGAACTGCTCTCGACCTGCAACTGAGGAGCTCCCAGCCCTGTGCAACAGGAGGTCGGGGGCAGAGGGTTCCCTCTTTTTTCGTTGTTCCGAATTCAGAAGTCCTCAACCCGAAACCCTAATAACTATGTGAAGCCTTGCCTGCCTTGTGCGAGAGTGAGCGTCGAAACCCTAATGCCCTAATACATCCTAAACCCGAA